TGTGAGATTTGGAGCTTTGTTCTACTCACTGAGAGACCGGTAAGCCTTGCCCTCCTTAGAGAGATCAGCTATTTGGGCTAAGGATGCCCAAGACACATTGAGTATACCCATTCCTGCATAATGGGAGTGACCTTAAAGTAAGTGTGGCCTTTCTCCTAAAACTGCAAAACTACTGCATCAATGTATTTGCCATATGCTTCTTACTGACAGACAGAAGATAACAGCAATCATTGTTCACATTTAAATTCTAATGGGTTGCCATAGATTAATGGTGGACTCTTGTCAAAAACTGTTTTTATAATTACTATGAGTGCTTTTATTATTACTAGCTCTCATGTACTTACATAGCCTTCTAGATTCTGCTTACTGAAGCAGTCTTTTCCAAGACCCAGAGTTCTCTGTTCAACCTATCTGCCAAGAATGTTTATTTATATATTTATCTGGCAATTCAACATCTGGCCACTATCAAAATTCACTCTTCCATTTAAAAGACAATAACCTTCAAAACTACATCTGTCTGTATCTTTTTGCAATTTCCTTTCACATGCTTTGTAAGTCCAACAGCCAGTCTCTCTCCTGCCCAAGGCCATTCCATCATTGGCACCATCTTTGGGAAAGCTCCATTCCAATTCATTCTTGCACAGTGAGATTATAATATAATGCAGTGATTACCATGGACCTGGTTTATTAACTGTGATGGTGTAATTGACTGGATTACCCAGTTCTTAGCTTCCCTCCAACAGTGTTCATCTGAATTGAAAAAGAAATGTATGGCAGAAGGCAATGTAGATGAAAGCATTTAAGGAGGACAGGTTTTTTCCCAAAAACCAAAAATTATTTGGAGGTTTTCGATAGGCATACGAGAAGTAAACCATCATGGTAATTTTTATGTGATTCTGAAAACTGCTCTTGAAAGTACTTATTATAGATTTCTTCCACCCCTAGATGACTCAATGCCTTAAGGGCATTTGGGATTGGAAAGGACCGTTAGCTCTTCTTCATCTTCTATCATCAACAGGGTAATTCTTGCATATGTCCTTGAGCAGTTCTCACCAACATGACTCATAGCATTTTTCCCAAACTCTCACAACTATACAACACTCAGTATTATGCTAAAAAGTTAAGGCAGAACTTTGAAGCTGACTTCACTGTTTCTTTCATTACTTACTGTGTAACTTCAGGCAGGTTATATAACCTTTCTGTGTCTCAGGTTTCTCTTCTTAAAATGTTTATAGTGAGTTTGTGTGTGTGTGCGTGTGTGTGCGTGTGTGTGTGTGTGTGTGTGTTTGCAACAATTGATTGATACATTTAAAATAGACCTTGACATATAGCAAGTATTCAATGTATGTTATTTGCTATTAATATCTTTCTGAAAAATGTCATTATTCCTCCTCCATCAAATATCACTCTTAAAAAGTGACCATACTGATTACTTCACAGTTTACATAGGCCATCAAGGCTGAACTCTGTCCTATGCTTATCCTTCTTTTTCTGCTGATTTAGCCTTTACCATTCTTTCTTTTTATCTCCCATCTTAGGAATTATTCCTCCACCAAAGAATGATTAATCCTTCTGTGTGTCAGATATAACATCCTCCAGAACCTTGTTAACTTTTATCCCCTCTCTCAAATAGCCTCAACATTTTCTTCTTCCATGACTTTTCATTCTGGCCCATAAATATGTTCAAGTCTCTTATTTTTAAAAAACTCTGTAGTATAGCCATTTTGGAAGATAGTTTGGCAGTTCTTACAAAGCTAATCATAGTCTTAAAATACAATCCAGCAACTGTATTCCTAGGTATTCAACCAGACGAGTTTAAAAATTACATCCACAGCGAAAAGTGCACATGAAATATTTGTAGCATATTTATTCATAATGGACCAAAATTGAAAGCAAATTAGATGTCCTTCAGTATATGAATGAATAAACCAACTATGGTACATCTATACAATGAAATATTGATCAGCAATAAAAAGAAATGAGTTATCAAGTCACAAAAAGACATGGAGGAGACTTAAACACATATTACCAAGTGAAGAAGCCAATCTAAAAAGGCTATGTACTATATGATTTCAACTATATGACATTCTGGAAAAGGCAAAACTATGGAGACAATAAAAATATTAGTGGCTTCCAGGGATTAAGGAGGGAATAATGGGTAAAGCACAGAGGATTTTTAGGACATGAAACTATTCTTATAACTCATAACGATAGATACATGACATTATTGGCAAAATATGTACAATTGTACAACAGATATAGTGAGCTTTAAACTATAGATTTAGTTAATAATAACATATCAATACTGGCTCATCGGTAATAATAAATGTACCACACAAATGCAAGCTGTTAATAATAGAAGAAACTGGACTGGAAGGGAGGATACATGAGAACTGTCTGTATTTTTGGTCTAATTTTTTCTGTAAACTTAAAACTGCTTTAAGAAATAAAGTTTATTAATAATTTTTAAAACTTTAGGCTTTCTGTAAATCTTTTCACAGCAACACCTAGATTAGTTTTTGATCGAGTAACTGGGAGAGGGTACATATACACAACAAAGGGTGGGAATCTTGGGGACCCTCTTGGAACTCTGCCTATCCTACTATCCTATCCTATGCTGTCAACTTGTGGCAATACACTAAAGTTCATGTCCCCTAGACTTGTAAATTGGGCTCCTTTTCTCTTTTTTCTCTTTCCATATATTTCCCTGACTTACTTTAACTACTTCTGTGGTTTCAACTACTTTTTATACAGTGTAAACCACAAAAAATTGATCTGTCCTACCTAGTTAACTCTTCTGAACCCCATACTCATACTTCTAGCTGCCTCTTCATGATAGCGCTTGGAATTTCCAATAGAGACTTAAGGAAAACTCATTAATGCTCCTATACACATACCTAAAATAAGAAGATAATTCTCCCTGTCAACTTTTTCTTTGAATGAGATCATCATTTACTCAGTTGCTCAAAACAGAAAATTTAGATTTGCTAGATATTTATTGAAGGCTTAGTACAGATTAGGGAATCTCTTAAATTCTTTACAAGTATTAACATTTAATCCTCACAACATCTCTATGGGAAGGGTACTATTATTTGGAAACCTTGGCCAAGAACCTTTCCCAGGGTATTATATCTAGGACAAGTAGTGCTAGAAAGAAAACTGTCTGGCTCATGATCTAAGCTCTTAACTACTGTTCTATTTTTTTTCCCCCAATTCCTGCTTGGTTATTGACTCTGACTAATTATACCTTTGCAGTATCATTCAAAATTATCTCCTTATTTCTAGCTCTGCTATCATGGCCTTGGTTCAGCATCCCATGAAGTACTTCTCTAATCTCCAGACTGGGGTTCCCATCTGCACCTTGCATTTATTTTAAATGACCTCTACATTCCAGGCATATCGATCACACTTAAATGGAAGCAAAATTTTTACTGCCCTACTTAAAGTCTTTCTTATCTAAACTTTGTAGCTTGCCATACAAAACCTTTCTCCATCCGATTTCTGCTCATATTTTCTGCCTTGTCCCTTTGTTTATAAGTGAATCTGTGTCATGTCTCCCAGGGTACCCTTTTCTTTATATGTCTATATTCCTTTCAATGCTGTGAGGGCCTTATGAGCAGGAATCCACATAGCATGATACTTGGCATATAAAATAAATTCAATAAATATACACTGAACAAGCTGTATTTAGAATTTATCTTTCCTTGTTTCAAAATTCCTATTAAAAGATTACTTCAAGATATTAAATATATACTTTAATTTTGTGACTGAAAATACCAATATATACCATATAATTCTCTCTCTATGGAATGAAGGCTCATGTAGTTAATTACATTGGAAATATTTCTAACTATTGAGATCAGGTCCTGGGGTCTAAGTCTCTATTTCATGCATTACACCAATATTTTGTTCAAAGAGGTGTGCAACCATATTTGTTTGTTTGCAGGTAGCTGGGCCCACAGCAATGATTTTCTACTCCAACTGCTTCATTTCACCCCACCCCCATTTGTTTTGCTGCTAGATAAAACATCTAACAGTAATCCATCTATTAACTATATAGACATCTGACTATAACAACTGAAGGAAAATGGCAGATATCAACGGGATGAACAGGATCACCCAAGTACACTAATGGACTGTAATAAACAGCATTTCCTAATAGCATGATTCAAATGTTCTTTCTCAAGTTACAATTAACTGATACAACTGTCTAGTTTGTGGATATTCCTGCTTTAGCAAAATGAGCAAGGTTAATTTCCTGTGGTTACCATTTTAAAATAATTTCTCACATCAGAAAACTTTCAAGCTTTCCCGGTCTTGCCAAGCTTAATCCCTTCCTTGTTTACACTCCTAATAATTTTCATGTGCTCTTTCTGCTAAAACCCAAGGGTGGACTCCTGACCTCCTTGCTTGAGGTGCGAATGATGCCAGTGTTAGTGACTGTTCTGCGGTTTCCGAAAGCTCCTCCTCCCCAGACCGTGAAAATTCTTTGGATGCTGAGGTTGGGAAGCAGGACAGGGGACACTCCTGGGGTGCAGCTCGGAGGGAAGGAAGCCGAATCCTGGGGCTTGAAGAGGCGCGAGGGGATCAGCGTGCAATGCGGAGCGTGGATCTTTTGGACCATCCCGCTGCCGTTCAACCTGTCCCCTGCTCTGCTCTCCCGCCGGGCTGTCCGGCGCGGGCCGCTGTCCACAGTGGGTGGTACTGAAAGCAAGGAGCGGGCGCGGGGGCGGCGAGGCGGACAGCTCCTCCGAGCGCCCCCCTCCTCGCTCCGCGGCTCCTCCAGCCCTCCCCTCCTCCCGCAGCCATGTTCCACGCGCGGGGAGGGGTGGGGGAAGGAGAGAGGGACGGGGGATCAGGGCGGAGAGAGCCGGCTCTGCCTCGGGGAAGGAGGGGATGAGAGTTGGGGAGAGCAGCGGGAGGAGGAGGAGGAGGAGGAGGCGGCGGCTAGCGAGGAGCCAGCGCTGGGTCCTGCAGTAGGACTCCCAGGAGCCACCATCATGGTGAAGAGGAAGAGCTCCGAAGGCCAGGAGCAGGACAGCGGCCGCGGCATCCCCCTGCCCATCCAGACCTTCCTGTGGCGGCAAACCAGGTGAGGGGCGCAGAGGGCGCGCCGCGGGCCGCCCTGGGCTGGGGGCGCTCCTGGGGCCGCCTGGGTCACCGCCACTGCCACTGCTGCCACTGCTGCTGAGGCCGCGCCACAGCCTGCAGCTCCCTCTCTGGGGCTGGAAAGCAAGCCCTCAGCACCTGCTTAAAAACACGCATTTTAAAAATATTTCCGTGAAGTTTGGCGACAAGCAGATTGGCAGTTGAATAAATATATACATTATTTAGAGGGTGGGAGGGCAGAAAGCCTAGGAAGAGGGGGCGGGGAACTAGGGAAGATAATTATGACTGGTTGTGCTCTTGCGTCCAATTGCCCCTCCATCTCCTGCTGTAATTCCAGGCCGGTGACCTGTTGTTTTTCCAGCTCCTGTTTGGCGAATATCTGCTGTGCCCACTTGTTAACCATTTTTGCTCGGATTCAGCCAATGTAGTCTTCCTGGTTCAAGACCCTGAGAAGGAGGATATTTTATAATTTTATTTTTCCTGGAAAGACCTGAAACCTATTCCAATAAACAGGAAACAAGATTTTCATTATTATTGTTATTAGTAGTAGTAGTATTATTATCAGTATTATTATTTTGGAAATGTACCAGATAACAAATTAGATTCTGGAAATCATAGCCCACAAACTGTGTTCATTTTTAGTTTTTAATATAATTATATACATGAGTAATACACCACTCCTGACCATTGGCAATTTAGAATCTGGTTAGGTAGAAGTCTTCAGAATAAGAGTGGATACAGAAAATGTGGAGAGCCACATCTCTTTCATATATGTAATTACACATGTGAAAGCAAATGTCGTCAGCTGTTCAACACCTGCTCATTAACAGGCTATAGGGAGGCATGAGATTTGAGTTTCATAGAACCATGTTTTATTCGTTGAAAAAAAATGTCATAAAGATGCTAATCATTTTTACTTATAACAAATATCTCTATTAATTTTTCAGTGCATTTTTGAGGCCTAAACTGGGGAAACAATATGAAGCCTCATGTGTGGTATGTGATATTCACCATTTAATGATTATTTCCATATTCTGTGTGGCAATTTCAACCCAAAGAAAAGCATTAAATTGTACTGACTATATAGATTCACTCACTATATTAATTCGCTCAGTAAATATTATTGAGCACCTACTATGTGCTAGGCATAGTTCCACATGACGGGACAGAGCAATAATCAAAACACAGAGTTTGCATTCTGGTGGGAGGAAGTCAAGCCACTGACAAATAAGTAAAATACATAATAAGCCCAGATAGTGATAAGCACTATGAGGAAAAATTAAGTAAGAAAGCAGACTGGAGGCAATGGCAGCTGGGGGAGGAGGTGGATTCCATGTATAGAGCAGTGGATAGGTAAGGTCACCTGCTAATGTGACTCTTAGACAAAGATGTGAAAAAAAAAAGGGGGGGGGAGGAATGAGTAAGGAGAGAACAGAAGGGAACAGTACATCTAAGGGACCTTAGCCCAGAGTGGATAGGGGTAGAGGAGGAGAAGAAAAGGTGGAGAGATTACAGAAAACCAGGTGGTGAAGGGCCTTGCAGGGCAAGTATAAGAAGTCCAATCCTTAACAAAATAGAGACTGTTCTAGTGGAAGCTAATGAGATGAGTACCTATGAACTACTCAAACAAAGTAATGTGCAATTCTGAACCTTTATGTCTTGTATGTTTGGTGTAAGTCTGAAAATAGATAATGTAAAATAATTATGAAAGTAATGCTACCAGTATTTATACTCTATAGAGTGCACTTGTCCTGAGATTCTAAGGGAATCCCGTATCTCTGAAATTTCCCACTTCACAAATTGAAAACAAAAGCCATGAAATCATGAAGCAAAAATCAAGTGAACTTTTCACGGGTTCCATTAAAATCTGGAGCTCAAGGGGCGCCTGGGTGGCGCAGTCGGTTAAGCGTCCGACTTCAGCCAGGTCACGATCTCGCGGTCCGTGAGTTCGAGCCCCGCGTCGGGCTCTGGGCTGATGGCTCGGAGCCTGGAGCCTGTTTCCGATTCTGTGTCTCCCTCTCTCTCTGCCCCTCCCCCGTTCATGCTCTGTCTCTCTCTGTCCCAAAAATAAATAAACGTTGAAAAAAAAAATAAAAATAAAATCTGGAGCTCAAATAAAGGTCTTCACATTTCATATATTAAAACCTAAAAGTGGAAACCTACCCATTTGGACATTGCCCTGAATATTTGCCAATGACTACATAGATGACTACATAGTAAGGAGTTCTGAAATGTGTTAGGGATTTTAGAATGATGAAATCCAGGGTGCTGAGTGGCTCTGTTGGTTAAGCATTTGGCTCTTGATTTCGACTCAGGTCACGATCTCACAGTTCATGAGATCAAGCCCCGCATCAGGCTCTGTGCTGACGGTGTGGAGCCTGCTTGGGGTTCTCTCTCTCCCTCTCTCTCTCTCTGCCCCTCCCTCACTCCCACTCTCTATCTCTCTCAAAAATAAATAAAAAAACATTTTTTTTTAAATGATGAAAGCCAACTAGAGAGTTAAACATACAGGTACACACACTCAAGTAGGAATTTGTTTTGTTGTATCACCTGCCCTTCAAAGTTGCCACAAGGATATTTTTAAAATATAAATTTCTAATAAGGACCTTTTAATGAAATTTGTTGTTGTACTTAGCTCAGGGTAGGGTAATTTGACACTTAAAAAACCTCTGGGCCAGGGCGCCTGGGTGGCTCAGTCGGTTGAGTGTCCGACTTCAGCTCAGGTCACGATCCCACGGTCCTTGAGTTGGAGCCCCGCGTCAGGCTCTGGGCTGATGGCCCAGAGCCTGGAGCCTGCTTCCGATTCTGTGTTTCCCTCTCTCTCTGCTCCTCCCCCGTTCATGCTCTGTCTCTCTCTGTCTCAAAAATAAATAAACGTTAAAAAAAAATTTAAAAAAAAATTAAAAAAAAAAAAAACACCTCTGGGCCTTCCATAGATCACGCTTACAATTTTACTATCTTAAAATAATCCTAACTTTTCCCTGTTCTTGGCAAAGATATGTCTGACATTTTTAATATAGTCATACAATATAAAATAACTAAGTCACGTAAATAAATAAAAGTATAAAAAACGATGTTCAGGGTTGAAAAAATAATAAAAAACTCATATTAGTAACATTTAAGAAGAAAGTAACATTAAGTACCCAGAGTGCTCTGCTATTATAAAATACAACTCATCCTCTAAAATGTTTTCAACAAGACTGCGTAAATTCTTTATAATCTTTTGATTCCCAACATACTCACCCTTTACTTAACGAATACTTAGATACCTCAGGGCTGAAGAATTTAAAAGCATTTGGATCTGTCTTTATTTAGCTTTTTTTAAAAAAGACGGTATCTCTTTTTTTACTCCTTATTTTCCTTTTTTAGTCAAAAAGTAATTAGGTTTCTTTGAAGAATCTCTCCATGAAGCTGTGTCTTTTTCTCTGGCATCCTAATAATATCAATAATACAGCTTGAATACTTGGAACTTGTATTATGATCACTCTCGAGCACACCTCCACAATTTTCTTGATCACTTGTGGCATGAAGCAGCAATCAGGTTCAGTTCATACAAGTCGAATATTTATTAAATTTATTTTAATATTTGGTAGCTCTACTTTCCTTAACGTCTTATAGTGATATCCTCCTCATCCAAACAACAAGCACAACAGAAACTGAGTAGGTCACATTTATTCTGGGATGTTTCACTTTCTGGAAGTATCCCTGGACAAGACAGAAGATTTAATAAATGAGCAAAGCTTATGGCATATTTCCCTTCTTTTTCTTCTCTCCCTCCCTTTCGTTGTTTATTCAACAGATATATTAAGTATTTTTACGATGACAGGCATTAGGTTAGGAATGTCTTGTGCCAGGTTGTCGCTAGGGACATGTAATAATTCAGGGGCCCCAAAATCAGATTTCTTGAAAGAACTGTAACTTAGTTAACGCTTGTTGAAAATTGACATAAATTCTGCCCTCAAAACGCTTTCAGAAAAGACATTTTACTTTGTTCTGCAGTTGTCACAGACCCTTTGGATGCCTCAGCAGCATTTTATAAAATATTACTTCTAAGAATTTCATGAGTTAAATGTGTTGTTGCACTTTTTTTTTTAAGAGGAAGCTTATTTTGGTGGGAAGAAAAATCATTTAATAATTCAAGTCATGTATTTTAAATCAAAAACCTAAAATGGGTAAAAAGAAATTCTCACGGAACCATTATATGTCAACATATACTATGAAATGCTGTGTGAGTGCACCCTCAAATATCTCATCCACCGATTTGCATCTTGTAGTACCTTGGTGTCCATTTTCTCACCAATCAGGATCTCTAATTCCTTATTTTACATGTTTTTTTCTTCTTTTTTGGTATCTACAGTCCTTTGAACGAGTGTTGGTAGAGAATAAACTGCATGGCCTTTCTCCAGCCCTCTCTGAAGCCATCCAGAGCATTTCCAGATGGGAGCTGGTACAAGCTGCTTTGCCTCACGTCCTCCACTGCACTGCAACCCTGCTTTCGAACAGGAACAAGTTAGGTTGGTTCTTCTGCATTGCTTCTTCACGGCCTCTGACCATCTACACTCATGGTAACAACGTTTACTGGGCACCTACTATTTTCCCAGGCCCTGTACACACGTGATCTCGTTAAATCCTCACAAAAGTCCCCTCCCATTGATACTACCGTGATCTCCATCTTACCAACAAAGAAACTGTCACCCTTGTCTTAAAATTTTTAATTATTTTCCAATATATGTGAATATATTTTCCTTTTAAACATTAGAAGATTATAGGGAAGCTAAAGACTATCACCCATCCAAGACGAGTTCCAATCAGATTTGTCTCCTTTACCCTCTCAACTCCCAAAGTGACCCCTTGCACTTTGTAGTACTGAGTGTATGTGCATGCGTGTGCGTAAAATTTCTTCCTCTTTTTTAGATTATTTTACAGATTGCTTTTCTAACATGGTAATATGTCCTAACATCCACCCCATGTTTGCATACATTCTCTACATGCTCTTTTCCATCCAGTTCTTTGCCCTAATTTAGGTTTCTGCTCAAATGTTACCTTTATAGAGGCATTTCTTGATCACACTGTCTAAAGTAGAGTAATCGTTATCTTCAGACCCTTCAGACCTGATGTTCTTAACCACTATGCTGCCTATTTGGGAAGATTATATATATATGACACATATATATATGACTGAAGACATGTGATATTCCTATGACAGTATATTATTCTGTAGGGATTTTAACCAGTTAGAAAGCCCCAAAACAAGAATGAACCCTTCCAGCAGTGGTTGTAAGAGGTACAGAGGAATGCCAGTGTCTCCCAGGAAATCAAGCCACAGAGCAAAGCAAGGATGTTCTTCCCAGACCCAAAGTGGATATCAATTGTTCTGGTGGCAGAGTTGGTCTTAACTCGGCTCTGTGGTTGTCCCCGTGCAGGCCACCAGGATAAGCTCGGTGTTGCTGAAACAAAGCTCCTTCACACCCTGCACTGGATGCTCCTGGAGGCCCCCCAGGACTGCAACAGTGAGCAGTTTGGGGGCACAGACCATGGCTCCAGCTGGGGTGGCAGCAGCAGTGCTTTCATCCACCAGGTAGAAAACCAGGGTTCCCCCGGGCAGCCTTGCCAAAGCAGCTCCAATGATGAAGAAGAGAACAACCGAAGGAAGATCTTCCAGAACTCCATGGCTACTGTGGAGCTCTTTGTGTTTCTGTTTGCTCCTCTGGTACACAGGATCAAGGTAAGCAGGGGCTAGTATGAGGCTGAGGGTGGATAGATGTGAGGTGGGCTTCAGATGATGCTTCCATATTTCCATATTTGGTTGACCAGGTCTTGATACGATCTCCTAGCAAGCCAAGACATGGAGAGCTTTATTTTTATATCAAACCACTGGACATTATTTCAAAAACACAATTCTTTGCATATCATTTATCTACTTAAAAATCTTCAGTGTTTCTCCTTCTGTCCCAAGATAATGTCCAAATATTAAACATGGCATATCAAGTCAAGCATGATCCAAAGCTTCAGTTTCTTTTTTAATTTGTCGTTTGCTAGTCCCTACTGGTATCGTCATGACCCAGCTCTGGGAGCCATTTCCTGAATATGCCCTTGCTGTTCACTCTGCTCTCTTTCCTTCCTCTGTTCTTCTCATGATTCCTCAAAGCTTAACTTCAGTGTTATCATTTCCATGAAGTTGTTCCTCTGAAACTCCCCTTGTAGATTTAGTCACTATCTCCTTTGTATTTCTCTACAGCACCTTGTAGCTATGTCTATTATAATGCAGATCTAGAGCAGAAGTTTTAAGTGTTTTATATACTGTGGATTTTTTGACAGTGTGATACAAGGTGAGAATTGCTTTTCAAAATATTTCTTAAAGCATAAAATACAAAACATAGGATTACATGGAAACCAATTGTATCAAAATACAATTATATACAAGTATCCCTTGGATCTGAAAAAGATTATCATTTGAAATTACTATGCCACCACTCTCTAGCTGTGTGATCTTGGTGATATTACTTAACGTCTCAGATCCTCCATTGCACACAGTTGTGGATATCTCTAACACAAGGTGAATATATGTGAAGACACAGTACGTTTCCAACACATGGAGAGAAATCAAGATCTATTTGTTATTTCTGTGGATGAATAAATTCCATCTGAGGGCTATGTTAAGAGTTAGGAAGAAAATAATATACTCAAATGTTCTTTAATAGAATATTAGGATCCTGATGAATGGGTGTTCCAAGTTGTGTGTGTGTGTGTGCGTGTGTGTGTGTATGTGTGTGTATATGTAGGTGATTGTGAGACCACTAACAATCACTATAAGGAGAATGCACTATAACGAGAATAGTGAGTCTTCACTCATTTTAGTTTTGGTTAAAATTCACTTTCACTTGACTCTGTCCAATTGCTGCTAGGAATAGAACTGAAATTACCTGTAACTTCCCAAACTGCTTTGCATGCACTGGCCACATTTCCCATGAAACATACTAAAAATTTTAAATGTTGTAAAATCAAATTAAATTGCTGCTTTAAAAACTTTGGCTTTCCATTTTAAAAAGTCTTTTATGATGGGTACATTTACTAAAAAGATTACTGTAACTGAGACCATCCCCTGGCCTATGGGGCCTGCAGGTCTAGGCCCCTGCCCACCTTCTCAGCCTCATCTCCCTCCATATCAATAGCCTTTTTCTCGTTCACTAACCTCTGAGCTCACTTGAGCTCACCCTCAAACTCATTCTTGCTTTCAAGTCCGGCACTGGTTTTTCCTTCTGTTGGAAACATTTACCCTCCCCTCATCCCCTAAATTTTCATATGGCCGTGACCTTCTTACCAATTCACTCACAACTCACATGTCATCACTTCAAAATGAATTTTCCTGCCTACCTTAGTGTCATTAGCACATGACTGTACTTTTTTTTTCCCTCTTAGTACTTATCAGTACCTGAAATTATTTTCTGTGGTTGTTTTCATGTTTCTTGCCCATCACCCTCCTAGAACAGAGTTCTTGAGCAAAGGGACACTGCCCATCCAGGTCACACTGTATTTCCAGTGTCTAAAAATGAGGTACCCAATAAATATTTAACAACTGACTCACTGAGTAGACCCAACTTATTATCAGAAGCTGATCCAGGTGCCAAGAGTAGCAATTATATGTAGGTACATAGTCCTTCAAATGGAGAAGACAGGAAAGAAGGCTTCTTGAAAAACTGATAGCCCATAGCGGTGACTATCTGTGGAGAAATAGCCCCTGGACTAAAAAATGTGCAAGTGTAGAAGTGACAGGAGTGGCTGTGATGTTATCTGAAGACAAGGCTGAGAGTCCAAGTCCAAGCCTGCATTTGAATCCAGTGCTTGTTGCTTGCTACCGTACGACTTTGAGCAATCGGCTTCTTGAAGCCTCCGTTTTCCCGAGTAAGAATAGTTTTATGGGGCCTCGTGATTAAACCTACGACAGTGCTCCACATTACACACGAAAAGGCATTAACACATGGTTAGTTGCTTTTAGTGCTCGGCATTTTCTTGCCATTAGTATTTTGTATTATTAGTAGGAAGGGAGCCAGATCCTCTTTCAGGGGAGACTTCCAGATAGTTTCTGACTCAAAACCCTCAAGTTTTACTTATGGCATGGAGTATTTATAAGAAAGTAATTGGAGCATTTATAAGGGAATGAGGCATATAAAACACTGTACAGCGATTAAATCGTAATAAACAATTATTATTAGCTGTCATTACTAGCATATTATTATTTCATCATTTTATTATTGCTATGAAGGAAATATTATTCCAGATGCTATAGGGAATAAAAAATATTAATAAGTCAATAAATTCTCCATAAGGCCTTTTTCTTCTGAGTGAGGTGTTTGCTTTTTAAAACATATTTAGGAAATGTACAGGCCCTGGATCAGGGTTTCCCAGCCTTGGCATTGTTAGCATTTGGTTCCAGGTAATTCTTTCTTGTAAGACATCATCCTGTGCAGTGTAGGATATCAGTAACACTTCTGGCCCCTAGTCACCAGATGCCAGTAGCACCTCCTCCCTCTGAGTTGCGGCAGCCACAAATGACTCCTTACATTGCCAAATGTCCCCAGTGGGTGCGCAGGGGGTGAGAATTGCCCCTGATTGAAAATCACTACATTAGGTCTTTCATTTCCCTGCTGGTTATCAGACCCTGTGTGTCCCTACTTTCCTAGCCATTGTGCACCCATGTGAACTGCTCCTCACCAGCACCATTAATGTCCCTTTTCCCTATCCTTCCTTTGCATTTGCCCTTCAAAATTCCAACCCCAGGTCATGACTAAAGTCCACTTTTTCTATCCCTGTCCCCAGATACCTGCATGCTCCTCTGGGGGAAAACCACACAACCATCTAGACTGTTGTTTCTACAAAGTTGTAGTCCCCAACCCCTGTGTGCTGCCCCATGTGTCAGTCCTTTTCTTGACTTTACTCCCTCAAGTAGCCAGTCAGCACTTATACAGTGTTGTAGGTTAAGGCTTTTATAGGACATGGTGCTGCAGGAAGTGGAGGAGGCTGAAATCCAATTGAGGTCACTTTCTAACTGGATTCACAGTTTTCTGGCTTGTCTCATAAAATCCAACTTCAACACTAAAGCAATCTATGTAGATCTGACCAAGTCACCGACATGCTTAAAATAATTTGTTAATTTCTTATCCTACAGCCAGTGAAACTCCAGCTCTTTAGTCTGGTAACTGGGCCCTCCATGACCTGCCTGTATACTTCTGTCTATGAGCTCCAACTGTTTGGAGTCTCCCCAAGAACATAACATGCTTTTTTCCAGGCCTATTCTCATCCTGGTCCTACACCCTAGAATGTTCTCATGCCCTTCTCTTCTGCCTAGAAAACTCCTACATATCCTTCACAATTTCATTTAAGATCCATCCCTCTCTTCCTCTATCATTATAATATTCTACACAGATTTTTATTGTTATTTTTAATTTATTATCATTATTTCTTTATGTGTCAATCTCTCCCATTAGATTCTCAATGGTTTGAGGGTGGGGAGTTATCACTGTACTCTGAATAGCTAACATAGTATCGCAATTTTGTAGGTATCTAATCAATATTTATTGAGTGCATTAATTCATTAATTAGCAAATAAATCTAATATAAATGGCTCATCCTTTTGTAAGACAGTGTATAATCAACTCAATGCACATTTTTCTATTATTTTAATTAAGTTTTCATTTAATTCTAGTATGGTTAACATACACTGTTACATAGGTTTCGGGTATACAATATAGTGATTCAACAATTCCATACATCACTCAATACTCATCACAACAAGTGCACTCCTTAATCCCCATCACCTATTTCACCTCTTCCCCCACCCACCTTCCCTCTGGTAACCATCAGTTTGTTCTCTACAGTTAAGAGTCGGTTTCTTGGTTTATCTCTCTCTCTCTCTTTTTTTTCCTTTGCTCATTTGTTTTGTTTCTTAAATTCCACATATGTGTGAAATCAGAGGTAATTTGTCTTTCTCTTACTTATTTCACTTAGCATTATATTCTCTGGCTCCATCCATGTCATAGCACATAGTAAGATTTTATTCTCTTTTATGGCTGAATAATATTCCACTGTATATATCACATCTTCTTTATCCCTTCATCTATTGATGGACACTTGGGCTGCTTCCATAACCTGGCTATTGCAAATTTGTAAATAATTCTGCAAAAATATAAGGGTGCATGTATCCCTTTGAATTAGTATTTTGTATTTTTTGGGTAAATACCCAGTAGTACAATTACTGGGTCATAGGGTAGTTCTATTTTTAACTTTTTAAGCAACCTCCATACGTTTTCCACAGCAGCTGCACCAGTTTGCATATTTACCAATAGTGTAAGAAGGTTCCTTTTCATCCACATCCTCTCCAACACTTATTTCTTATGCTTTTTATTTTAACCATTCTGGCAAGTGTGAAGTGACATCTCACTGTAGGTTTGATTTGCATTTCCCTGATGATTAGTGATGTTGAGCATCTTTTCATGTGTCTGTTGACCATCTGGATGTCTTTGGAGAAATGTCTGTTTATGTCTTCTGCCTACTTTTTAATTAGATTGCTTATTTTATAGGTGTTGAGTTTAATAAGTTCTTTATATATTTTGGATACTAACCCTTTATTGGATATGTTATTTGCAAATATCTTCTCCCATTCAGTAGGTGGCCTTTTAGTTTGTTGGTTGTTTCCTTCACTGTGTAGAAGCTTTTTATTTTGATGTAGTCCCAATAGTTTGTTTTTGCTTTTATTTCTCTTGCCTCAGGAGACATATCTAGAAAAATGTTGCTATGCCTGATGTCAGAGAAATTGCTGCTTGTGCTCTCTTCTAGGACTTTTAATGTTTCAGATCCTTAATCCATTTTGGTCATTAATCCATTTTGGGTTTATTTTTGAGTATATGTAAGAAAGTGGTCCAGTTTCATTCCTTTGCATGTAGCTCTCTAGTTTTCCCAATGCCATTTGTTGAAGAGACTGTCTTATTCTCATTGCATATTCTTTCCTCCTTTGTCAAAGATTAATTGACCATATAATTGCGGGTTTCTTTCTGGGTTTTCTATGCTGTTCCATTTATCTGTGTCTCTATTTTTGTGCCAGTTTGAATGCTATAGCTTTGTAGTATAACTTGAAGCCTGGAATTGCGATGCCTCCAGTTTTGTTTTTTCTTTTTCTTTTTCAATCTTTTCAAGGTTGCTTTGGCTATTCAGTGTCTTCTGTGGTCCCATACAAATTTTAGGGCCAATTTTGTTTGTTCCAGTTCTGTGAAAAATGCTATTGATATTTTGCAGAGATTGCATTAAATGTGTAGATTGCTTTGGGTAATATAGACATTTTAACAATATTTATTCTTCTAATCTGTAAGCATGGAATGTCTTTCCATTTTTTGGTATCATCTTCATTTTCTTTCATCAGTGTTTTATAGTTTTCAGGGTACAAGATTTTCACTTCTTTGCTTAAGTTTATTCCTAGATACTTTATTATTTTGGGTGCAATTGTAAATGAGATTATTATCTTAACTTATGTTTCTGTTGCTTCGTTACCAGTATATAGAAATGCAACAGATTTCTGTACATTGATTCTGTGATTTTAATTTATAACAGCCTCAAATATATTACATGAAACCAATAACCTAAAAATTCTGTCAAATATATTATTTTCAGCTAGATTTAATTTTATTAGTGAAAAATGCTGAGTATTTATTACAACTAAGGAATTTAAATGGGATGTCATGATCTGATCATATTCAATTATGCCTCCAATAAATATTTGTTTATTGGAGTGATAGGCACTCTTAAGAGTGCTTTATTCAGCAGTGGATAAAACAAAATCCAAGCCCTCAAGGAGGTTTTTATAAAATCTGTATGTGTGAAGTAAACAACTTTAAAATGAAATTTAAGATAAGAATAATTTTTCAACTCGATTTCTCTAAACTACCAGTAAGCATATTTAGAATAGTTTCATGCTATCATGGAACAGGCTTTCAGTGAAAGTAAGAAATGCATCTGAAATGTGGGGATATTGACTCTGCCAGTGTCTATGTCTTCTGTTTTTTCTAAGGACCTTACTAGACTACATGCCCACAGCTGTTTGAATGATACTGTCGTTTCCAGCTATCAACTTTCTGGCCATATGTGCATTCATAGCATTAGATGACCCACTAATGGGGACTCCAGAAGAAAAAATAGAGTCCCAGAATTTATGCATTCAGCCAATTTAAAAGGACTTACAAAGGAACATAGCAACATAAGAGGAGGCCACACATTTTGCAAGTGTTCAAGTCTGAAGAATGATTAGATTTAATTGGTGCTATTTTTGGAATGTAAACTATGCTCCATTAATCAACAAGTATGTATTGATGCTCAAGGAGAAATGTACAGAAGGAGATCTCAATGTGTCTCCATAAATATACAATCTAGTTGGAAATATATCAGATAAAATAATGACAGTAACTATCAGTGAGTGAATCAATTGAGACAATGTTAAAGGCCAGCGTTTCAGTATAAGAGGACTTACCTTCTGATGTAGTGTCCACTAGAGTTTTATTTGTGCCAAGATTACTTATGAGGAACATGGAAAAGGATGGAGTCCCAAAGGTATAAAAACCAGGTCAATTGAGATTTGACTTCCTGCATTTCTGGAGACAAAGCAGATAAGCTTTGCTCACGTTTAATCCCCTGGTTGCTGGATCTAACACCACACGTAATACTAGCTTCCCTTAACTTCAGACCCGCCTGTCAAGCTGCTCATTCAGTATCTCTAGTTGAATGTCTAACAGGTATCTCAAATTTAACATGTCTGAAACTAGGCTCCTGATATCCCCCAACCTGCTATTTCTTCATCTTGCCTATCTTTGTCAAAGCCAAAAATCTTTGACACCTATTTCTCTCACCTTCCACTTCCAGTCAGTTCTGTAGACTATATTTTCAAAATGTATCCAGAATCTACCATTCTAATTTTGCCCTCTACCAACACCCTCCTCTAATCATCTTCTACGTTTCCTAAACAGACTCTCTTTCCACCCTTACCCTTTCTCAAACAATTCTTAATAGCCTCAGTAATCGTATCAAACGTACATCCAGTAATGTCATACCACTACTGAGAACCCTCCAGTGGTTCCCCATCTTAGTAACTGCTGAAGCTCTTAGTATGACCTATCAGGCCCTGTATTATTGGGAACTCAATGACTTCTTTGACCTTATTTTCTTTTTCTTCTACTCTTCTGCCATTTACCTGACTCTAGACACAGAGTCTCCTGGCTGTTTCTCAACACACGAGGCATATTTAGGACCTTTGCACTTACTGATTCCTTCTCATGGAATGTTTTTTTCTGAAATTATCTACTTGGCAGTTCCTTCATTCCATTCAGATCCTTTTACTTAAAGCCGCTTTCACAATAAGGGCTTTCCCGGCCATGCTGTCTAAAATATCAACACCTTGCCTGACACATCCCTTTGCCTGCTTTTCTTCTCTTTTGCACCAGGAGAGCAGGAATTTTTGTATGCATTGTTCACTGTTCTAGCCCAGAACTTAGAATAGTAGCAGGTATGCAGTAGGTGGTCTACAAATATTTGTAGAATGAATATTGACTGAATTTGGCCAAGTGCTTTACATGTTTTCCTAATACCTCTATAGGGAGTTCTAGATGCTTTCCCATTGTGGGCACTGCTGTAGTGCCAGGATCCTAGTCTATAGCTTACAGAAGAGGCCTTTCTGTATCAATGTGTGGATTTCATCAACCTTTCTAGCTGAAGTTTCCTTTGACACTGAGCCACGGTGATTCACCATTTTCAGGATCACTTTCCTTTCATTTTATTTTATTTATTTATTTATTTATTTATTTATTTATTTATTTATTTATTTTTTACAATTTCTTCCTACATCTTATCCTTCTAGATCATTGGTCTTCAACCATGGCTACACATGAAAGTCAGCTGAGAACTGAGTGATTCTAATTTAATTGGTCTGGGCAGGGGAGGAAGTGACACCTGGGCCTCCAAAGCTGCCTAGGTGATTATAATATGCAAGCTAGGGTTGCAAATCACTGCCCTAAGTGAATCTCTAGGTCTTGGTTGTGTTCATTAATCTGTGATAACATTCTCTGATTCCATCTCTATGTTTTTTTTGAGAGACTGGGTTGTTAATTTATTTTTTTAAAGTTTTTATTTTAATTCCAGTCAGTGGTTGAGTTGTTTAAGATGTAATCTCAGAATGTAATATATTTTTATTTACGTAATATGAGATTGCATTTTAAATGATGTAACGATGAAGCAGAAAATGTGCTCCCTGGAAGAGAGCTTAAGCTGTAGATAGACTGAATGAGTATGAGTTGTAAGGTCTGTGCAACTCAGCAAGTACTTACTGAGCTCCTATTGTGCACCTAGTTTCTAATACTGTATTAAGCACTGTGATGATGCCGGGTGCTATGGAAGAGGGAGGATATCTGATAGATCCCTGCCCTCAAGGGATTAAAGATTGTTGAGAAACAACATAACAAAACAATATACTAGAAGGGTCTAAATATATGTTCCTGGTTATATGAAATGCAAAAACAAGAGATGGATTGGAGAATTAACAAGTCAAAATAGCCAATATCTGAGAATATTGATTTAAGAGGGAAAGAGAAGGACAATTAAATACTTAAGAGGAATAACAATGATAACCACAAGAGATCTGCCGAGACTCTTAAAATAAACAAGCCTTGATCACTGCTAACACAAAACAGTAATTGTGTTTCATGCTTTGCCCAAAGCTGCATTTTAATTATTAATTTTGCCAAAAGCACACCACTGTGGTTTCCATAGTAATTGTGATGATAACAGGGCTATTGGTTTACCCTAGAAACACTCATCTGAGTGATGAAAGAAGGTCTAGAAGATCAACCCAATGTACCTTGACAATAATCTTGTGAATGATATTAATCATTGCAATGACTGGTCCTTTCAACCAGGTCTTACAAGCCAGTTATTGGACATAGATCTTCTCTTTCCCCAGGAATCAGACCTTACGTTCCGACTGGCCAGCGGGCTTGTTATATGGCAGCCCATGTGGGAGCACAGACAGCCCGAAGTCTCTGGCTTCACAGCACTGGTGAAACCCATCAGGAACATCATTACAGGTTCGTAACTTGGATGCCCAGTGGGATGGTCTTAGCAGACTCCCTCATATGCAGGAGTAAGGGTGATGAAATGATTTGCCCTTAAGGAACCAAGAGGAATGAGGTACCTGGATGGCTCAGTCCGTTAAGCAACTGACTCTAGATTTTGGCTGAGGCAATGATCTCACTGTTCATGAGTTTGAGCCCTGCATCAGGCTCTGGGCTGACAGCATGGAGCCTGCTTAGGATTCCCTCTTTCACTCTCTGTCTGCCCTTCCCCACTTCTCTCCCTCTCTCTCAAAATAAATAAATAAACATAAAACAAAACAAAACAAAAGAGCCCAAATGTCTATCAACTGATGAACGGATAAAGAAGATGTAGTGTGTGTGTGTGTGTGTGTGTGTGTGTGTGTGTGTGTAATGGAATATTATTTGGCGATCAAAAAGAATGAAATCTTGCCATTTGCAGCAATGTAGATGGAACTAGAGTGTATTATACTACGTGAAATAAGTCAGTCAGAGAAAGTCAAATATAGAATTTCACTCATATCTGGAATTTAAGATACAAAACAGATGAACATAAGGGAAGGAAAGCAAAACTAATATAAAAACAGAGAAGGAGATAAACCATAAGAAACTCTTAAATACAGAGAACAAACTGAGGGTTGCTGATGGGGTGTTGGGTGGGGGGATGGGGTAAAGGAGTGAAAGGCATTAAGGGGGACACTTGTTGGGATGAGCACTGGGTAGTGTAAGTGATGAGTCACTTCATTCTATTCCTGAAATTATTATTACACTATATGTTAACTAACTTGGATTTAAATTCTAAAAAGGGAAAGAAGAAAGAAAGAAAGAAAGAAAGAAAGAAAGAAAGAAAGAAAGAAAGAAAGAACAAAAGGAAGGAAGGAAGAAAGAAAGAAAGAAAGAAAGAAAGAAAGAAAGAAAGAAAGAAAGAAAGAAAGGAAGAAAACCAAGAGGAAGAAAATTTCTCTAGAAAGTTATTATGTAAATGCCCTGGGCACAGGGCTCATTTACATATGATGAGAAACTCTAAACCAGGGGCACATGCTACTGAGTTGTGTGGCTTTGGATAAGTCATTTAAACTTCTTATACTTCAGTTTCCTCATGTGTAAAACAAGAGTTAAAATATAATGTTGCTAGAACATTCAGGGTTGTTATGAAGAATAAGTGAATTAATTATATATAAAATTGCTTAGAAGAATGCCAGGCACATAGTAAGTAAATAAGCTATTATTATTATTATTATTATATCTTCATAATCATTATAGTAGACAGAGTCATAGATCCTTAACAATCTTACCTTAGTGCTTATTTGCTATCAAAGCATTTCACTACAGGAATTGTCTAATGAAATAACTTTATTGGTGAATTGTAGAAAGAGTAATAAATGATAGCTTGAAAAGTGCCTGGAAAGCTCAGGCTTCACTCCAGATGTATCACTTACTATGTATGTAACCTAACCTCTCTGAGTGTTTCTAGTTCTTTAAAATGGAGATAATAATACCACCTTATATGGCCTCATAGTGTGGAGTAAATAAGAATCCACATAAAGTACCCATTTTATAGTGAGTGCTTTATAAATTCAATCCTTCTATTCCCAACCAAAATTTTGGCATCAATAATAACATTTAGAAAGAGATAAATTGTGTGGTAAATATATAGAGAGAGGCATGATATATATATACATCATTTACTTACTTCCAAGGTTTTTCTACAAACAATGGAATATTACACATGTAAAAAAGCTTTGTAAGGGGAAGGAAGCCATAAACAAGTTTTTACATACTTTCCCCCTATCAAGTAACATACCTTTGCAAGGTACATAGTATGTTAAAGGATTTTCTGAACAAAAGATGGTAACATGCTTATAGTGACAAATCATGTTTGCTTATAGTAATTCACACAAAAGATACAATTTTTCATATAGTGAAAGTAGACTAATTCCAGAATTAATATGTGAACAATACATTAACTAGTGAAATAAATTATAAATTCAAGAGTAACAGTCTGTCATAACATTCAAATAGCAAGGACCTAAAGATGTCATAGCCAGAAGTGATCTACTTAGATTCCCTGGATAGAATGAGGTTAATTTCACAAAATTAAAACAATCTGAGAGTGAAGACAGATGTACAATATTAAAAAACTGAAAACAATAGAAATAAGACAAAGGAAAATAAAATATGCTACAGTAAAACAAAACTATTACTGAAAAAGCCATATCATTATGCTGATTAAGGATTTTTTTCGTATTTGTTAAGTCCTATCACTTTCCTTATGAATTAAGAGGTCACTTTACATTTAGGTCACTCTCTCTCTCTCTCATTAATACATAAACTATCATTTAACAGATGTATTAAAAACTGTTAGGAAATAGTGTCCCTCATGAATCACTGGGGCTGTTCACTCCAACATCCTTTTGCCTTGGGATGATATTCAAAGTGGGTTCTTTTCCCCTCTGCCTGATGCCCGTGGATGTGAAATGGTGCCCAGCAGCTGAGGTGAGATTAAACCCAGCTCAGACACGTGGCCAGAAGAAAAAGCAACGGCACGTGGGTAGATGACACTCCCTAGGTCTCTTGTTTTGTGACCTTGGTAAATCACTTTCTCGGCATCTGTTTTATTCACAATTCCAATACAGCATGGCCATCGTCACTTCCTACTGTTCCCAATCCTCAGGAAAAATGTAACTGATTTGACTTTTGCCATAAGGGAAGCTTAAGGTGTTCATAAAAGCACAACCTGGAGCCAGACAGCCTAGGCTGGAAACTTCATGTAAAGGCCAGATGATCTTGGGCAAGTTAAACTTCTTGTGCCTTAGTGTCTTTATCTGTAAAATGAATCTAATAATTTACCATATGCTATTATTGGGTTATTGTAAAGGTTAAATGAGTTGAGACAGTAGTTCCCCCCTTATCTGTGGTTTTACTTTCTGCAGTCTCAATTACCCATGGTCCAAAAACAGATGATTCGCTCCTCCTGACAAACCGTCAGAAGGTCAGTAGTAGCCTAACACTATGTCACAATGGCTACATCATTCACCTCACTTCATCTCCTCACGTAGGCATTTTACATCATCATAAGAAGGGTGAATATGGTACAATAAAGTACTTTAAAAGGGAAAGAGACCACATTTACATAACTTTTATGACAGTATATTGTTAGAATTGTTCTATTTTATTGTTAGTGATTGTTGTTAATCTCTTACTCTGTGTAATTTATAAATTAAACTTCATCATAGGTATGCATGTATAGGAAAAAACAGTATATGTAGGGTTCAGTAGTATCTGCAGTTTCAGGCATCCACTTGGAAAAGACCCCCTGCAGATAAGAGAGGAGCGCTGTATATGTAAAGTTCTTTAGTTTTTAAAAAATAAAAGAGAAAGAGAGCAGGGAGGGGCAGAGAGAGAGGGAGAGAGAGAATCCCAAGCAGGTTCTGCACCATCAGCACAGAGCCCAGTGCGGGGCTCAACCTCACAAACTATGAGGTTATGATCTGAGCCGAAATCAAGAGTTGGATGCTTAACTGACTGATCCCCCCAGTCACCCTTGTAAAGTGACTTAAAAAGAATGTGGCAGATATTTGGTACCATATAGATGTTAACCATTATTAAATTTAGTTTTGCCAACTTTTTAGCGCCAATAGCCTTTTGAGTCAGAGTGAATAGATGAAGAAATCTACATTGTTATGATAACCTAGCAATGCTAAGATTTTTTAATTGGTTATTTGATTTCTTTTATAATATATGCTACTAAATATCTTCTTTCAGAATGACAATGATATGTAAAAATTATTTTTTGAGAAATTATTGAATAAAATGAGCGTATTGTAATCTTATAAAATTTGTGATGATATTTCTTCCATCTTTGCAGCTAAGAGAAGCTCTCCTATCAACAGTCAAAGTCAAACCTGTGAATCACCAAATCAAGACACAAGCCATCAAGAGGTGAGTTTATTGTGATCCTAGGAAGAAATGAGGTGGTCGTTCCCTGGATGTGGTGTAGTGTGAAAGATAAGACATGAGTTCTAGAATAATACTACTTGGTTTCAGATCAAGCTCCTACTCCTGAATATAAAACTTTAAGAAGACTCAACTTTACTATCTGTCAAGTATGGAAAATAATTTTATGCACTTTCCCAGTGTGGGAAGGCTGAAACAAGACTGCATGACTGGTACTTTATCTTTGTGGCAAGTGTAATCAGCAGTGCTTTATCTCCATGCCTAGTGAATAATCAGTGGTGTTCTATCTCAATGGTTAAAGTGTAATTAGTAGTTCGTTGTCTCAATGGCTAGCATGTGACATTCAATAAATGTTAGTTATCATTATTCATCCCACATAAAGTATCAAAATCTTCTAATATTTTTTAGGCAATCATAATATAGGTAAGATAATGCTGCAGCAGGTGGGGAGGAGGGAGAAAGTAGAAAGGAGGCATAATGTATAGTCCTATCCCTTAAGTAATATAAAGTTTCATGAAAAATCAAGACGAATCCACATAAAAACAGAATATATGTAATAAAAAAAGACTATAATTCAGTGAAAAATTTTCAAGCATTCTTTGGTTTGGAAAAGAAAGAAATGAAGGCCGGGGTGGTTTGAAGCCACATAGCTATGACTACTGCCATTAGCTTAGTGTGGTTTTAGATGACCTGTCTTCATTTCCAGTCCAACATGTGCAAGATACAATTTGCTGCTTTCCATGAACATTGGATCCTCTTTCTAACTGATGCATTACTGTCAGCAGTGTCATCATCCTTTTTAGCCTCAAAACTGGAAATTTTGGAGTCCTATTATAGCTAATGTTTACTGAACTATTGCTAAATATAGACACTGTGATTTATATGCTCTATTTTATCTATTCTAATATATATATATATATA